GCCCTTATCAATTAGTATCATATAAATATGGGCTAAGGACATATATTCATTATATACATTCTATCACCCAGACTATTGAGCATACAGCTACATAAGCATTTGTTCTGTCACACCTCCTAGGGTGGACAGCACATAAACGTTTGTTGTTTCTCACAGACTCAGGTTACAACCCATAAATATATGTCCCCAGGCCTCCGTGTGAGAGTAGGCCTGTGTAGTGTAGCCTTCTCTGTGTTGACGTAGTAAATAACCCACCCCCTACAACAAAACAGAGAGAGGTTCGGCTAGTTCACAGTTTCCCACAGTTCACCAGTTCACAGCCAGACACCGTACCAAAGAGACGTGTGTGAGCATAGCTCCCAAGGCTGTATCTCTCTCTAATTATTTCAGCTAATTACAAGCTAATAGCTAATGCTCAGTAGTCTGTCAACAAACAATTCTGTAACTACCAGAGTATCCAATATAACTAGAAAATCACCACGTGTGTTTACATTAAACCAAGGAACCACAAATGAAGATAACAGAACCTGTGTACACTTGTGTAACTTACAAGCTAAGATAATTACAAGTGTAACCCAGGTTGGCTGGGACGATTCAACGATTCAAAACTACGACTGTATCAAAGGTGACACGCCGTGAGATTACCTATTATCTCACCCAGCTTCATCAAAGGTACTAGCGACTACCCTACACTCATTCAGGCAAGTGTTAACAAGTGAGATCGTTTGATATCAAACCCCGGCCCAAACATACACGAATTTACCAACCGTATTGAAAGACTCTGTACCGCCATCTTCAACCTACACAGACTACCCCTGCCTCCAGCTGCTACCCAGTCAACCCCCTCTTCTGGTTTGACACAACCTGGTAGCCCCCCCTGTGTGCCCCTCATGCTCACGGCCTACTCCACCGCCGCCTGGCACCACTGCTGGCGTCCACACCGAGCCTGCCCCGTGCCCAGCTGCCCCCGTCCACCCACCACGCGCTCACGGACCCGAGGACACCACCCCTGGCTCCCCGTCCCCCACCGGCATGCCTGCACCTGGGGCCCATCCACTCCAGTTCTCCACATCAATTGACCACCATGCGGACATGCTAGTGGACTACGTATCTACGCCAAGAAGGACGTCCCCTACCAACCTCTCGACGTCCCTCTTGAAGCCGACACTACCAACGTACACGCCATCACAATCACACTAAAAGGTATGTCCCTCAATATTGTCAATACCTGTGGCCTGGCACTTGACATTATTAGGGACCTGCCACGCTTTGCCATAAACAGATAAATTATACCGGGATATTTCCCCCCACACACTCATCCTTCTGTAACTTTATGTAACTTGCTGACAAAACCCATGACCCTTCAGGCTTTTACGTCCTTAATGCATGAGTCATAAAGGCAAGCATGAACTCCGCATGCTTCCCAGATGGGCGCTGTAAACGCTTCTGCGCTTCACCTTGCACAGGATGTAAGGGGGTGCCCAATAAACTAGCCCCCTCCGGGGCAATCTAAAAAAATCTATCTTATGTACTATTCCAGATGATACTAAATGTTACATAATACTTCCTTGAGATAAATGTATAGTATATATCAGGTGCCCACAGGAGAGCTCAGGTTCTCAACTGGCTCAGCAATGTCAATATCGTTATTATTATCCACTCTGTATCTGTGTTTTTCTGGCTAAATAAACTGTTTCAATTCAATTCAATTCAATTCAATTCAGTATACCTTAAGAGCCCTGTGGGGCCGAGCTGACAAGTGACGCGGATGAATCACTCAGAAGTAAAATACGAGTATACAGTACCGTAATTATTGGACCACAACAGGCGTTAAAAATCTAAGATGAAATTATAAGCCACGGGGAACAATATTTACCAGAAAATTTATAAAATTTTGGGGAGTATTTGGGAGGACAATAAGTGACGTGCAGCCTAGCAAGTTAAATCCACAGGCATAGCTGGTCAGTAATTTTTTTCTGGAATTTTCATAGGTGAAGAATGCACGCAAAGGGATTAATGTTCTTAAATATTTTAGTATTATTAATATTATATCAGAGTTAAACGGAAAACAGAAATGCCGGTAATATCAAAGCCGGAATTATAAAATAATTCCGATTGAGGAATGTACTCAAAATTATTATCATTAGTAGTAGTAGCGGTGGTATTGTAATTCCCGACAAATAACACACATCACAGGAAGTATACATAAAATCCTGATAAAATTCATATATTTTTACAGAGGGCGGACAGTAATGCACTCACACAACAGTGGCGGCGTTTTCTTCTGTTGGATTCTGGCTTATACGAATTATTTTTACAACCCCAAATTGAGTTAAACTAAATGAAGTTTACAAACATAAGTTGAACAACAACTTTTCTCAGAGGCATTCTTCATTTGTTTACAAGTCGAATCATTTACGAAGATGATTAACAGTACAAAAGTAATTTCTGAGAACAGCACTACCACCAGAAGGAGTTGTTCGATTTCGTTCAATTTTTCCACATATGTTCTTATCATTTAAGTATTTTCAAAGAATTGACAACTTTTTATTTTCTTGATTTTTTTTTTTTCTACGATCACATATCACCTTAGTGGGCAAGGCATGAAAGATGGGGGAACTGCGGGGTAAAACACGGTGAAAAACTTATCATATGACACTAAGTGCTTTGTACGCGAAGAAATTAATGATTTACCATAAATACTCCAAAAAATCTGCTGAGTCATCTGTTTACATTCGGCCAGTAAAGTCCGCGTGTACCCTTACGTCCACAAAAAACGTAATGTGCATCATGACGCTTCAAGAAGGTTGCTTTCATTGGTACCAGATATCAAAATCAAATATTTTCTGTTTAATATGGAGGGGATCCAACCCCGACTAGGAAGTTAGATAAGGAAAAAGTTGTCGTATCGTTTTTATTAATTAGTATTATCATCCAAACAACACCTGTGCAAAATATGAACGAATTATATAACTGGTAATTTTGCAGTAAACACCAACCACAGAATTCCGGAAATTCACTACACTCAATCAATAGAACTATTTTTTCTATGATCATTTTCTTACATCATACTTTTTGTTGCGATTAGGACAATTTTGGAATTCGCTTCTACCACAAATCACTCGTTTCGGCTCTCCCCCACCCAGAACCCAGAATCCCCACACTTTCTACCATTATTGTTAGAGGGAGGGGCTAAATCCAAAACGAGTGATTTCTGATAAAAACGAATGTCAGATTTGAACCAATCGCATCAAAAAACACCAGAAAAACAATGTTTTTTATCCGATTCTTTGGTTGTTGTAATCTGCAATTTTACCCTATAAACCCCTTTGGGTGCTAACCGTATCCTCCACTATTACCAAATATTTAAAAGTATCTTGGAACATACCTGGTCTAGGAAGTTGGAACAAACTGCCAGTTTTGTGACGGCACCGAGTGAGAGTTCATTTAAAACATAACTTGTCCTACACTGGCACAGGTACAGATATTCATTAGCCAGTACATGCCCAGTACTTGCCAACAGTGTATAACAGTCTCTGTTACATAAACGTGATTGACAGTCCAAGCGGCTAACAGACCGATCAGTATCAGAGTATACACACACCCAGACAACATGAGTAAACAAACGATATCATTCCCTCGGAGGTTTTCAGTCTTTCACCAGAAGACAAAATGCTGACAAGATTTTTTACATGCTTTCACCTAACTTGTACGCCTATGGATATCTGATCTTTGGGTATAGTTTTGGGGAATCTGGTCGAAAATGGTGTAGCAGAACTCACTTGCTTTCCTGTAATGGCGGCCGGTAACAAACAAATGTTCCTTGCTCTTTCCGTGCAGTCTTCTCCTGTTCTTAACCCCAGTTTTAATACTGCACACCATATTATTCCTTGTATAACTTCCCAATCTCTCTCCTGAGTTTCTATCGACACTTGACAGTAAAAAAGTCTTTATATCGCAGCTGTTTATTTATTTGCACTTAACAAAAAACGAGACCTGGAGCTACAGACTCATTTGATTGTCTCCAAGATGGTCAGTTCAGTGTCTGTATTGCAAATTATCAAATAATAATAATAATAATTATAATATCATATTGATATTATTAATACACCTACTACCACCACCCATCCATTGAATCACGTCGACACTTTTCTTCTGTACAGTATTATTTTACAGTTCACAATTTAAACTTCTCGAAATCATTAAGGATAGACAGTACTGTTTAATTTACTCCATCTACAAGGAACTGCACGTAATAGGTAATAGGCAGCTACCAAGCAGGGAGGTACTACTGCCTGGGAAGATATTGGAAGCATAATGTGCTGTCTAAAGGTAAAACAAAAAAACCCTGCTGCCATTATGTCATCACGAAAATTATGTCTTAAGTCCCAGGTTGCTGATATGACTTTCTGCCTCATTTACACACAATTGCAGGGTCTCAATTGTCTCTTTACTATTGACAACACAACATACATATATTATTTCTCACTTTTGACCTTTTTTTTCCATTTTTGTATTTCTTTATGGTTCTTTATTACTATTATTATTAGTGTTGTTACTATTATTTTATTATTCTCTTTTTAATTATATATTCGTTATTGTAAATTCTATTTACTATGAATTAATAGTTATTTTTACATTTTCACCCCCCAGGCCCGATGTGGGTCAGTGACCTGTGCCCGGGTGGGCTAATTCCCGTATAAAAAAAAGTGCAGCGGGGAGGCGCAAACAAGTCAACTTAGTGCGTGAGACATGTAATGAGTACTACTCTGCCAGCCATCGCATTGGGAGGGTTTTTATTTTATTCATCATCCTTACTGGCTACCAGTAGTTAAGCAATGTGTTCGAGTACCCTATGACTTTTACCTCCCCAAAGAAATTAGGTACTCATTCACATATGGGCTGATTGAAGGTCCCAAAGGTGTGAACCAGGGACACTACTGCTACTTTTCTCGTAAAAACATAAATTATAAGGTAAAATTTGTGGAATTAAAGAAATCTATCATCACAATTTTATTAAGAAGAAAATCTCTTACATTCATTTGCGCCATGAAGCATGTTTTGGAGCAAAGTGGAGGTGGTATAGGAGAAAGAAACAGATATAGCACAAGATAAAGAATGGACCTGTGTACACACAAATTTAGTAAAAAAAAAAAAGTACACGAAGTTTGAAAAATAAAACATGATACTGTAGATGTCGAAACCATTAGCAGAAAAATAAATTAGCATTCTTTATCCAAACGACAAGGAAGTTTGTGAAATTGTGGTACAGGTACTGCAGATCATGCATATACAGTAAGGAGGAACATGGTGATTCTTATCATGATGTGTGCAAAGGACAGGACATGAAGGAAAGCAGTAATTGTTAAGGTGGAGGAAAGTTAAGTAGCTGATTACTGTACTCACTCTCAGCCATAGTTAGGAAAGGTAAGATGAACAATAAAGTATAGTAAAATTAGAGAGAGCTAGAAGTAAATACTGCATTATGAGAATGTTGTGGTCCTTTTGATGCAATGGGAACTGGTGTTACTATGTGGGTACTTAGGCATGGAATGGGTTTATGTTCAACTTGGAAGATTATATGATTCTTAACATAGATGAAATGAAAGTAGTGTAACTTGTTCATGGGCATCAATGAAGAATGTACAGTACATGAATAAATCATACCCTCATGTAGAGAAATAATCTTAAAAGAGCCTCAAAACTATAAAGATAATAATGTTATGACTGATGATATATATTTAATAATAACATGCTAAAGAATCATATTTATCCCATGAACAAGCTTTATGGTGGTGCTACAACTTAAGGCCTGACTATTTTCACATTTTACATTTTCACAAGTGCCATTTGACCATCTTGGTAGCACCACATGTTACAGTTATTAAGATGATATTCACACTGTTTTACAGTTTCACTGTAGTACATTGGAATTAAGGTACAGATATAAATCTGATCATCATTCCAATACAGTACACTGGTCATATACAAAAGGTACACAAACCAAACACTGCTAGGGATAAAACAGTACCAAAAGTATTTTTTCACTTCATATTACCAATATAATTGAGAGTACAGCTTTGTTCTTAGTTGCAACTGGCATAAGTCGAAGGCTATCATGCTTGGCATGTTTAACTTGTAATGTAACAAGCAATTTTATAAGTGAGGAAGCCATATCATTGCTAAAGTGTGCAATGAAGAGGATAGTACACTAAATCATACATTCAGTTAAAACTGCCTATTACACACAAATAACTATAACCTTATTATTGGAAGGTAAATTGACACTATGGAGGATGATACTGAAGGTTAATAACTGAGAATTAAATGCTTTTTGAATAAATACCTTAGGCAGGTAAAGAAAATCCCTGAAGTGCTACCTAGTAACTACTGTAGTTAAATTCACCAGTGATCATTCCTTAACCCATTGTTTATTCCTCATACACTAGTTATTTCCTGCACATGAGAGTATAGTACCGTATATCATACTGGACCAGTGTTTGGAGTAAAAAAATAGTTTTTCCATCTTGCAACAGATTTTACAAATTCTAGCAATTTTTCCCTTAGATCCACTCCGTAACCTTTCTAAATATCTTCAAAATTAATTTCTAATCATCAAAATATTTCTTCCTGCTGTACACACATGCAAATACTATGCCACTTTCATTATCATTTGTGACCGATGAAACAATATCAGTACATTATTCACTGGTGGCATATACCAACTATGAGCAAAGCTATGTCCGTACACATACAGTAAGGAATACATGCAGCTTCTACAACTTGTGATGTGTGGACCATTTATGGGGCCCACTGGGGCACCTGCTTCTTTGCTAAAAAGAGAATTCCCTTTTAGCTAACCAACAAATCATGTTTTGGCTTCAACAAAAAATCATTAACGAGTCCCATGTACCAAACACAAATCTAAAAAACGTTTGCCCTAGAACATGACACTACAATATAGAAGAACCACAAGAACCTAGCCGTATGTTAATACAGTATTATAAAACAGTACTGTACCTATAATATACAATTTAACAAGAAACTGAGAATAAATAATTTTTTTATTTCATATCTGCAGTCACAATTAATTTACATAAATGTGAACTTATTTAAACCTATGAATTTGAACTGGGAATGGTGCTTTAACACTGATGTTTGCTAAATTACCTGGTCAAGGACTAAGTACGTCAATAAAAAAAAATTACTTCCAATAAAATGAATTAATTATGACAAACTGTACAAACATTTTCCATAAAAATCTTATACAGTACATATACACTAATGCATTCTTACACACATACTTGTGAATATGAATGTATAAGTACAGTATGTGAAAATTTAGGATGCTCGAGATTTGAAAAACAAACAATAGCAAGGTTCAACATTAGAAGTTGCCCCGACAACCAAATTTTGTCGTCGAGCAAACAAACAAAACTACACAATGTTTAATATGATACTTTAATAGACGAAATGTACAAACATAAAAGATTTAATTCATCACAATAGCCACAATGTATTCTCAGATGTAGTTGTACAGTAACTTGGAGTGTACCAATGAGCTCATCTTTATATATATCTTGTTCAAACTACAAGTTCATTCATTCATTAATTAATTATTTCATGACTGCTGAAAAATTTAATTACCATTTTGTAAATAATTTTCAATTATTATTAATTAAGGTATATTGTACATCAACAAATTAATGTACACCACTCCAAGGATTATCAAGCAAAGTGAACAAACTTGCTGTAACTATTAGGGTTTATTTCAAGAGTAATTGGAAATATGATCAGAATTTAACTGAAGTCTTCCATAAATTTATTCTATTGACTTTTGTAGTTAACTTTCCAGGTACCAAATTGTGCAATCACCCATTTTGTAGGGTACTTAGTCTTAACATCGGATTTTATTTGAATTTTTTTTTTTTAGTAATATTATTAGTGCAGCATCCTGGTATTAGTTATTTTATAATACTCTCACAACACATATTTTTGGGGGGTGGCTAAATCTTTACCTGGAACTAGACTTGCTCAAGATGGTAACCAACTCCAGAATTTAATGTCAAGCCCTGCCTAAATTCAGAGACAATTATAAAATATTTTAGTGATAAATTTTATCATAAGGCAAAATAATCAGCTGTTGAAAATAAAAAAAGAATAATTTCACTTTTCTTTCTTTTGGTTAAAAGACAATAGACAATACAGTATACTTGTCCCTTAATGTCTGTTCAAGATATGACTAGCCAACAGTATCATTTATAGAGTACAACAGCTGGATTGAAAGAAGTTGATGCTTAATTTACCATATTTAATTGTCATAGATAACTATTATTTAGTGAATACAGTAGGCATTTACAACTGAAAAGCCATTGTCACTGCTACACACAATGCAGGGATTTCATAGTTGCTCATTTAATGACAGCGCTGATGGTCAGTTCACAAGAAAGCTTATAAATACACTTTGAAATGCCTCACTACCAAATAACTGGGTTGCAACTACTGGTAAGGTCTATTCCCCAACACAGAAAAACATTGTGAAAAAGCTGGTAAAACAATGTTATATTTAATAAGTGTAGAATTAGTTTCTCTTTCCTGTTAAGACTGTACAGTACAGGTATACTGTACAGCAATACAGTATAAGGATGAAAGTTATAACATCCTCATAGATGTTCTTAAACTCTGCATCCACTGTAAATTTTCAGAAAATAATTATAAGCTACAGTATTTTACACAATTGGCTTAAATAAAAGCATTAGAATATTCACAAGAATATAATTAACTAAAAAAAAAAATTATGTATGACTTGAAAAAGGAATTATAATTACATATTGGAATTTGGTTAATGCAATTTTAAAGATATATAATTAAGTTGTGCGCTAAAAATTCCATAAGGGAAAGAAGACATGTCTATAGGTATATACTATTACAATAAAAAGTAGACATTTTATACAAACTAGTATGAGCCACATGAGCAGTATTTCTCTGATCTGCTTCCCTCTTTCAGCACCTTTAAAATGAGTATTTAAGATTAACAATAACTTGGCTCTTTTCAAACACAAAATGCTTCTTACAGTGATAAATGTGATATTACAGTAAAATCCTCTAAAATTCAGACTGATTACCTAACAACATACAATTCTAAATATCTGCATTTTTAAATGTCTGCAGTCTAGAAATGAGCCAACATTTTCATTGTCACACTAAGGCACAAGCCAAATGACCATTGATAATACTGCCTTCTTTCATCATATGGGTAGTTCAATAAGGTACTAACCTCAGTTCACATTTTATCACTATGCTTGACACTAATCTAAAAAATTACAATGCTTCCCAGTATCACCTGTTACATTACTGTAATACCTGTTTTTCATTTTCAGTTTTAAATTTGCCCTTTATAAATTGTGCTCCTCGCAATTAATAACTTCCATCTTCACCCACCCACAGTAACCTATATACCAAAATGTGCCTTTATAAAACACATTTATGTAAAATTACAAACATAAACTTCACTTTCCACAGCACTGTACTACAAAACCTTCACATTTTTAGGTTTAACACTTCAACTTGTTTTCCAATAAACGTTTCCTCTGGTATTAATTATAAAATAAAGTAACTTCAATATCACTCCATGCTATTATAGGCAACTGAAAAGGGTTGAATCTGGAAATAAAAAAATCTAACGAAGAAGGTTGTACACACACACACACACATATATGGACTGTAATTATTGTCTATAACATGCCTTTGTGCACCTGTAACTGAGGAATAGGAATACTGTACAATAATATATAAATATCTTTGTTGTCATGCACCAAAATATTTACCATCCTAAGCCCTGAACATGGAGACCATTGAAGACCTTCATTAATCTAGGGAAATGGCTCTTAGGGGCTCCAAGAATTTCATATCAATTTAGTCTGCAACCAACAACTGATGGTCACATAAAGTATCATAATAATTGCATCACTCAACTACAGTACTTCAGAGCTCAAAAAATTTGTACCAACAGATCCAAGAGAATATCCATATTACCTGTTTGAAACTAATCATAAAATTTCCACAGTATAAAGGTAATTAAAGCTTAGGTAGCTGGAGATCTCATTGGTATGAATGTCTGATAAGACCTAAAACTTGGAATCATCATTATTATTTGCATGACGAAAACTTCATGAACTAAAGAAAAACCACTTTAACACAAGATATTACAAAATTTAAAATGTTTTGTGCAAAATGCAACAGCATTCAGGGGTAAAAGGGAAATTAGTTTACATAACCACAAGCTCTTTGTAGATGCTATGTTCTCCAGAACTCTTGTCACCAGTAGCTTGGTGACAGCTTGTAAGACTAGGGCATAATGCACACACACTTGAGCTAAATTTTTTGGATTACACTGCTGGAAATTTAGCTTTTGAAAAATTTTTAAATCAATTCTCCACTAGTACACTGATACAATAACATTTAAGATCCCCAAATACAGTACTACACAACAAAACCAATTTTCATTGATGAAATAAAATATATCACCCATTTCCAGATAACTAAGTTGCATCACTCTACATATTTAAGGCTTCCTCCTACATCCTAACACAATGGGAAAACATTGTTGCCAGCACATTTGCAACTTCCCTTAAGATGATCCTCACACAAGACTCCTCACTCCTTACACCCCATGTATTTCAGGGACTGTCTACTATAAGTCTTTTATATTTACCAGTATTTTTGCTGTACTCATGAAATTCTTCAGTAAATATTAAGTGACATAAATACAGTACAGTAATTTCTCCATTAGCCAGAATCCCTCTTTACCGGAACTCTCCGACGGTCGGAATTGAAATTTTCTCGGAAAATCGTTACCAAAGCCAGAATTTTCTGCAAAATTCCAGCTTTAGGGTAAAAATATTGAGGGGCACATTTTCTGCAAAATTCCGATAAATTTTTTCCAGTACCCGGAAAATTTAGGGAGTGAGGGATTTTTCCGGCTTTGAGAGAGTCATCTCGTTACCCAGAAATCTCTCATTCCTGGAGGTGCTCTGCACCAATTGTTCTGGCTAACAGAGATATCACTGTATTATCAATTTACATACGAACTGAATATAATCTGCAAAAAAGCAGCTTCCCTATTTATGGCCATACTTTGAGATAATAACCATAGGAAAGGAGGGAAAGACAAATGAATTTCACAATTTTCCAAGATTTTGACTCAAGTTCTGTTGGCAGTTACCACCTTGATACTGTCACTCAGTTAGTCATTAGGGATTGAGCAAATTCATACATTAAATTATCTTCATTCATGAATTGTGTAATTTTTGCCAACAAAACCATCACTAAATAAACAGCCCAATGAAATAATCAATATGGTTCAACATTGCCAAAAATATATGGATGTTCAATACAAAATGAAAAAGGAATAAAAATGGCACTTGTGAATATGAAATCCTCATTTTTCTTCTAAATATCCCATTTGTGTTAAAGTATAAAAAGGAATGGACATGATAAACTCACTCCTAAATCATATTAGTGAATAATGTTAAAAGATGTGAAGGATTAAGCAGTGCGAGTCTTATATCACTTATGCACTACAAATGCATTACATATGAAGGAATCAATGGAAGTTTTCTAATTTTTTCTATTATACCATAAATTCTTTTTCTTCTAAGACTTAGTGCACCTGTTCACTCTACTCAATTAGGAATTAAGTATGTTTACTGAACAGATAGACAGATAGGTATCTTGGAAGATGTTCTGAACAATACACACACTGCCACGATATGCACACTACTTTTTTTTCTAACAAGCAGACGACTACTACTTGAGGAGTGTGACAGCTAAGCCAAGATGTAGATCCTTAGTAAATGTGCTTTGTTCTACTGTAGGGTTATCAATAAGTTATTTTGTTTAGAGAAACATTAAATATTGTAGCTGAAGATTTAAAATCAACCACTTTCACTGGGAAAACCTTTTATTATTTGTTTTTTAAGGATTCTGATGACTTACAAATGGAAAAACACTGACCATTAGGTTTGGTGAAGATTCAGCACATGGTTAATGAATATAACAGTAAGTTTCTGGATAAACAAAAACATTTACACAATTGCAAGTTGTTCCCACAAAAATGTGTGTAATTTCTTGGAGCAACAATGAGTAAAATGTACTTATCAACTTCCTAGGATACCATGCATAACTATTTTTAATTTAACTGACTGGGGACTATTCACTTTTATGTTTTATCTGTCATACAGTGGCAAGCATTACTCTCACACCTAAGATATGCTGAATATTGTCTAACTTTAGTGTTCACAAAAAAAAAATAATAATAATAATAGTACAATACTCAGCTTTCATATAAAAAAAAAAAAAAAAAAAACTTTATCTGTGAATTTCCTAATACAGGGAAGCAAAGTAATTAGATATTACATCTATGGCAAGCAATGTGACATACTATTTATTTATAAAGCAGCCCTTTTTTACCATAATTCCCAAAATATTGTACAATTTTTTTGAGGTTTTACTCTATATATCACATAATGAGTTATTAATGTAGATGGCCAAATGTCACAGCAAAAATCAAGTGGCACAGTCATCAGTAGAATAAGAAGAAAATCTATATATTATAATAATAATGATAATAATAATAATAATAAAAAAGGCTTCATCTTTGGAAATAAAACTTAATATAACCCAGAAATTTATACATAACAATTAAGCAAGTCTGTATTGACAGAGTAGGGTAACAGGATATCACATAAATGAAGCATATACATGAAAGGAACTACTTTACAAATTTGTGTTATTAGAAACTACAATAAAGTTTCTTAATGCAGCTTTCCAATTTCTTCCCAATATACCTTCTGCAAACACCAAGATGGATTTTGAAAACAAAACCAATTATGGCTACATGTTCACAGAGGAACATAAATCTTTAATAAGTCAAGTACATACTGACTACCTTTTATAAAAGCTCACCACATTTTACCAACAATATGCCATGTAAAGTGTCACAAACAATCCTGGTTCCATATAAACTTTGTCACAAAGAATATTTGTCATCCAATCTGACTATAACGCAAAACAGAAATCTGGCCTCAAGAGGTCAACGATTTGGTCCACACTGTCTTTTTTGTTTCACTTGGGACAAATCAAAACACATACAATAAGTGCCTCACCTGCTACCATGGCATTTCAAAATAAAACATTAATAAAAAGGATACATATTGAGTCTAACCATGACTTTAATGACTAATTAGCAGTACTTAGTCTCAACAGATCCTCCATCAGTTCTTTTGTTTACTCTTCCAGTCATGGCATACAGGAATACACTGAGTACCTTTATCTTTCTCATCACTGCCTTCACAATGAAATTAACAAAAGCTCACAAAAAGAAGCTGGGAAGTTATGTTTCTGCTAGTTCTATGCACTGGTTTCATCCCATTCATCACTATCAGACTCTGTATCAGATGAAGATTCACTATCACTAACTTCAAAGGCAAATCTTCTCTGTAGGATGGATGCAACATCAATACTGTCTGGGTCTTCCTTCGGCTTTGTCTTAACATCATCCACCCTGGGGCGCAGCTGGATCCCTGTAATCATATTGTGTTTTAAGTCATTTAAAAACTGGCCATTAAAAAAAATGCATCCCCTAACTCTATATTGATTAGTCCAACAACTAATAACACAGAAGGATGAGTCACAAAACATTGGTCCAAGATCTTGATATGAACTTAAATGATGATGGCTATTGTCATACCAGGGACAACACAGCACTCAAACATGGGTAAACACCCTATATACGGTAATATGAGTGTCCCATAAATCAAAATTGCATTTTGATCACCAAACTGCATACAGGAAGTACTGTACATAATCAAATTTTCACTTACCTTCTCTGATGGCTTTGAGCAATTCACTTCGACCATCAGCTTCAACTGGTGGAAGAACTTTCTTTTCCACTTTCTTAGGTTTTGCCAGAACAGTCTGTGACTGCTGAAAAATATAAAAAATTAAATAATTTTCATACCTATATAAATACAAGTATGTAAGTGCAAAGATAAATAACCTGATGAAAAATCCATGAATATAACATTAGGGAGCAAAATGCTAAATTTGCTAAAATTGCATAAAATACTTCACACATAAACACCCTGTGAAAATTTAACTCTGGAAGTAATTTCTTGTGTTTTGAGTTTTCAGAGTTATGAAGGCTTCCTGGGAAACTCAAACAAGTCACAGTGGCCAAATACAAAACATAGGCAAAAACCAAAGTAGAAAAAACAATCTTCTGATATCTAGATGATTTGAAAAAAGAAACTGAAGAAGAATAATGGTTCCCACTCAGTAAAGTGAGTTGGCGATAGGAAGGACATCCAGCCATAAAACATGCTTCAAATATGTCTGATGGCAACCAAGTAATCACACCGAAGTCACACAAACATGGAAAATGGTCATAAAAAGGTGGTGGTGATTGTCATAAATATACTTGGTGCCTCAGCCTCCATTTTAACATTTTGACTTTACAAAAAGATCAAATTGTTTTAATTGTTAACCTCATCGTTTTGCCCATTTACTGTAAGTAAAATTTCTATTATTCCTTTTCAAACTATTCAAATGAAACTAAAAAATTAATAATCATATATAAATAAATAAAATAAATAAATAAATTTGGAAACACATTATTGTGTACTGTACCAAAATTCCTTACTTGTTTTATGACTCCATTTATCATGAGTGGTGGCATTGGTGGAGGAGGAGGAGCTCCTGGTGCATTTCCATTTGGTACCAGAGGTGGGGGTGAGGGAGGGGGAGGAGCTCCAACCATTTGTCCTGCTGGCTGTATGGGAGCCACTGGTGGTGGGGGTGGGGGGGATGGTGGTGGTGGTTCTGGCTCCCCAGTCTTATCTGGTGTTGGTGGTGGTGGGGGAAGGTCTTGTTCATGGTGGTAAGGTGGTTGGACATGCCGTCCTGGTCCAGGGGACATTGATGTCCCGCGAATGATTCCATCCACTCCAACCTGTTGCTGTAAATGAAATGATATAAGACAGAAAACAGAAATAATATATCATAAGTTCACACTGACACACTATAGTCATGATAAATTTGTGAATATTTGTTGAGTTCCATTACAACTCTTACTGATATATCTGGGATACAAAGATTAACTTAAGTTATGAATGTGACACTAAATTAGTGACTAGGTTAAAATTAATAATATATCAACTAGGAAAACACATTTCAGACACCAGTACAGAAATACATTTTGTATGATGTTTAGCAAGGTGTATAACATATGAGCAAATCGAAATTCAAGGCAAATTCAAGGTTTTCAAGAAAAAATAAATAAAAATAAATTAAAATTTCAAGGTCTTTTGTTAATGCAGTGATCCCTCGGTTAACGAACGCCTCGGTTGATGAGATTTCGGTTAATGAGTTACCTCACATAAGATTCTTAACTTCGGTTAACGAGCAATCCCTCGGTTAACGAGTTTCTTACGAGCCGACCACAACAAGTTTTCGCTTGCACTTGGCGGTCAACCAGCTGTAGTATTAGTCCGCCAATATACAGTAATCGGTTCTAGGGCTTAAATTCCTTACTATTTCAGTAAATATCAAGAAGTTTATACTATTCAATAATTTTAAAAGTTTAATATTAAATTTTTTAGTCATTTTAACAATTATTGAACATAATTGAAGGTAAAGTGACTAGTTTTATGCGCGCCATCCAGCCTCTCAACACACCATACAGGCGTCAGTCTGTGTCTTTTCAGTGGAGGTAACATCTTGCTTGAGACTCTCTTCAACTAAACGCTTTTTTTCTGTGTTTGCAAGCAAATTATTGGTCATTTTGAAATTTATTTTACATATTGACAAAACATAATGCAGTGCAGTGTTGATTTAAAGAAAATAATCTTGAATTACACCTAGAGCAGTGTTGATTTAAAGAAAATAATCTTGAATTACACTTAGAGAACTAAAATTTTATGGGTGAAATGGCGCCATGGGGTGACTTCTCTTCCGCCCCAATGCCTTCTCTTCTCCCTTCTCCTCCACCCCCATTCTAATTCCCATCATCATCATCCAGGAGCCTTCTACATACACACCTCAAAGTAAGTGTATTTTTCTACATTTTTTTTTTAATTTAGGCAATTTTCGGTGAGCTGGAACCAATTACCCAAAAACCCATTGAAACAATGGTTTCGGTTAACGAGCAACCTTCTAAAACGGATTGTGCTCGTTAACCGAGGGACCACTGTATTATCATAAAAATAGTTATTTAATATAAATACTACAATTAGTTCAATAAACCATAATAAAAAAATATTTTCATATCTAAAAATCTACAAATGAACAGAGTTTTTATATTTATTTAAGAGTATACAATCTGTACACCCTCAAACACAGCATGTCTGAGGTCATAATCAAAATTCATTTTTTTTCTGAAAATGTGGTAAATTCAAGGCATATTGAAGATTTTTAAGACTCAATTTAAGTTCAAAGCATTTTCAAGGTTTTCAAATTTGTTATACACCCTGTAAGAGAACCAAGCAGGGTTTCTGAAGGTGGTATGAACTTATTAAAAGCATGAGGAACAAAAGAGAGGTAAAATGAGTGAGTGGGAAGATCAAGAAGGATGGGATGAGAGAAGGGGATGAACAGCCAGAAAGCAACATGTTCTATGTTCTGAGTGCTTGGTGTTGAGAGGTTAATGGGCTGGAAGTATGATGGCAAGTTACACAAAAAGAATTCACTAACAGGAATAAACCAGACAGAAATCTTGTGCTGAGAAACACAAAACCAAAGTTTGACACAAATGTTATAGCTCTTTGTAGGAACTAACAATGAATGAAAAGTGTATATAGTACTTTTGATTCTGCCTATATTTTGTCATGCAAAAAGAAGCTGGTTCAGTGGGTTAAACAGCAAAAAGTTATTTTTTATACCAGCAGCATGGTTACCTGTCGATCAGCAGGTGGAGGTGGTGGTGGAGGTAAAGATTCACGTCCCTGGGAAGGTCCACGTAAACGTGTTGGTGTACCGCTATGGGAACCACCTGGTGGGGTTGGTGTATTGCTGTTGCTTGGTGGGTCTGGAGGAGGCTGCATTGGCCGATTAGATGGTGCACGCTGACCTGAATTACGACTAGGAGTGCTACCTGCAAGTGAAAGAAAATCTTGCTCTAATAACAAAACTAACATCTACTGAAGGAACATTTACATATTATATAAACAGTAAATTATGAACAGCATAAATTTACTACAGTACAGTATACTAATGAGATTATATGAATAATCTGCTATCAAAATTGTGAGTCAGGAAGAGTAAAGAAATTAAAAAAAAAATGGACAAGCATTTGGGGGAAAGAAGATTTTATTTTGCCTCACAAACTTTGAATTCAATAACCTTAAAATGACAATCACAATTTTCTTGTCTACTTCTCAATGTTAAGTAAAACAAACTGAGTCATAACTTCTGCATTACTTAAACACTTCCCATCTACTAAACTAATCTGTCATTGAGACTTTCATTTCCATTCAATCTCCAACTTTCTAGTTTAATTCTTCTTTATAATGAACCCTCTTGACATTCCACTAAATCAGTGGTTCTTAACCTTTGTGGAGCATCAAAATAGGAGCTGTTTTATAATAAGAGTGATTATAAGGCATGACTCAAAAAGCCCTGAAATGTTTTGTCACTCAAAAAGCCCTGAAATGTTTTGTCAGAAATATGAACAACTCTGAATAAAGGCAACATCACCCAGAAAGGTACAAAGTATATGATGACTATGATTGTGCATGGATAATGTGGCTGCCTACAATTATCTTTAAAGGCCATTGAAAGTCGTGCAGGTTGTAGAATAAGGCTTCTGACATACCCTGTCCACGATCTGTTCAGCTGATATACATAAGATAAGACTTGCATAAATCCGAGCCATTTTCATTCAGAACTTAAAAGATTTGCAGGGGACCACAGCACTAAGAATTCTAAATTCATGTTTTCTTCACTTCATTAGCATTCTGGTATTTTCAATAAAAAAAATAAAATTTATCCAGGTACAAAACTAACAACAGCAGCAACAGAATATTTACTTACTAAACTCAGATTTAATACCTAGAATTAAGGTAAATCTTACCTTGTGATACTGCCCCATCAGGAGTATAAGGTGGAGGTGGATATCCAGAGTACTGGTCTTGGTAAGGTGGTGGGTAACCTTGGTGGTCTGCTACTGGTACTGCCTGGTTCATCTCATGAGTTGGAGAATAAGCATGCGGATGGGAATTTGCGGCATACACCCCTTCCTGCTTAAAGGAAAAAAAAGAAAAGCATTAATCGTTGGTAAAAACATGGGATGACACAGACTGTAAAGAATATGTAAACAAGTCATAAAAAATCTGGAAAGGAACAACTTAGTGTATATGAAGCCATTTTCACATCCCTTCAGAATAACAACTTACAAACGACGATCACTCTCAATCGTCCTCAGTAATGTAAAACTAATCACCCCCGATACAGTACTACACATCAGAATGGTGCAAGAGATGAGGACTAACACTTAAACCATTCACATTCTCTGAGCGGAAACACAAATACACATAAAAGTTTCTTCATAGAGCATGTTGTCTCTTGGACACTCCTCGAACATACTCTATGGTCATATTCAAAGTACTGTACATGCCAACTAAATTTCAGGTTCAAATCATCTCGTGTTCCACCTCTACTTTACCTACCTTGACCATCACCCTCAACAAGCTGTCAGTCAATAAAATATACACACCACATCCACATAGTTTACTTAGTGTATCTTTTAAACATCCCATACATAAATTTTTCATTATTTACCTCCTATCCTCTCTATGCAAATACTACTGTTTAGGATATCAATGTATACAATATATATTCTCAACATGTATAATTTAAACCTAAACCTAACACCTGTGCTGACAAATAAGTATAAAGTACACGACACAAGTCTGGACAATGTGTGGTTATGCACAGTGATTAAGGTTGACAAAGTAGTACTTACTTCATTCATCCATAGTGAATGCACATACACACAATATATGTATAATGTGTGATGAGTTAAAATGATACAGTACTACAGACTGAGGAGATATATGTAACAGACGCTTCCTTGTGTATGAAAATTATATAATGGATATGGGTAGAAAATAATATTTAGTACGAAAAACAAAAACAAACATACCCCAGTATGTGCGTTGCCATAGTGACCACGAAGTTCTATGCTATTAGGCCGTAGAGGCCGTCCATCAGCAGCATTTATTCCAACCGACTCATCATATATGCCCTATTAGGAAGGCCATCTCATTAGAACTAATTAAAAAACAATGCACAGAAAAACCATACTCCCAAGAGTATCTACATTTATATTATACGACTACAATATTACGAAAAATAAGTTTTTAAAACTACACTTTTTATTTTCAAAGAACAGAAAATCACGCATAATGATAAAGATGCTCTGAAGTTACAAACCTCGTTCACTTGATTCATTGGGGTTCTGTACTGAGACTGTGGAGCAATATATTCTCCCTGCTCAACTGCCCACTTGATCTGTCGTTCTCGGGTGTTGGATGTCATCCTTGGCACCTTTTTACTCTTATTTCTCCCATCTCCTTTGGGTTTGCTTGGCTGTTAGTGAGAAAGTTAATAAAATTATTAAAGGACACCATAACTATGCATCAACACATACCAGGAATTGCAAGTGGAATAATACAGTTTTTAATTAATCTTAAGAAATAAATGCCTTTCCTAGCATAGTTGATACAGTGTCATTTATAAGAAAAATATATTTCTGTTGACAAATATCAAAGAAAAGTATTATTAACAAGAATTTATAGAATGATATGGAATAAATAAATTATCACACATATACTGACACAATTCGTTATTAAAAGGTGCCACGACTCTAGAATCCTGGTCATAAATGCTGTTAAAAGATGTATTAATATGTCTAATCTAAAATATTAGTTCCTTAAAGTGAAACAACATCCACAATTATTATCCTACAAAGGGTAAATCACAAATACTCTATACAGGTAACTCTAAATCACTCGCTATATTTTTCCATGGTGAGTCACAAGGGATAAATGCAATGGAAGCAAATATAAAATAACCATGAGCAGCTAACCCAAAGGCAATTCTACATACAAGAGTATAATTAAACAAATGATCTTTAAAATATATGTGACTTTCTCAATATAAATAACAAGACACTCTGAAGAACCTTGTGGATGTACAATAAGACCCTTGAAGCCTGCACATACTGTACTTGGAACTGGCTGTGAGAGTTATAGCAAGACTTCAACATGGGTACTGCAGACCATGGGACCAAGGCTCCAAAATATCAGGCATAAACATTAATTATCTCGTATAAAAAACTATAACATGAACTAGTTATCACGAACCCTAAACCTGTCGGTAGTCACAACATATATAACTGAACTCTATATTCTCCCCACCTCCCTTTGTAATAATGTAAATCTACAATAATTTCTTCCCATCACAAATCAACTCCACTGCACAAACTTATCATCTGTAAACTTCTTAAAACATATCAGCTTTTGTTGGAAAACTTTAAAGTATACTGCAATGGATTTTTTTTTTATCATTGCAAAGGTGACAAACTACACCAGTTTGAGAAGAGACAACTGATAATTTTGAGGGTCTTTACTGTTTAATTCTTCTCTTTAAAGTTAATGATGCCTTGGGTTAAGCGGACTCTTCTTGCCTGGGAATCACTATCCCAATACTGAGAAAATCAGCATTATGGATATTAGCTTTACAGTCAAAATTATGCAAAGACAATGAGCTGTTTACCTCTAAGCCTACTACAATGGCATTTAATAAAAAATAAAGGTGTTGATATAATAAGCAAAATAGTAATAAATTAGCCGCATAAGGGAAGTCGCTGAATTAATATTAGAATTACGCACAGTATACAGTATCAGTACTGCTAGATGTTTTACAGAGGCGGCTCACTACACTTCTTTGCATTAAAAAACTTGAAAAACAACATCTGGAAATTTCCCAAAACAAATGAGAAAAGACCAAGCGGCAATTTCTGTGAGACACTTTTTTTGTGTTAGCCTTGACATTTTTGTTTAACCCTGACAGCTTGATATATAATACACACACATATTAGACACCTCACTACAGATGACACCTATTATTGAATGCAATTGACCCTTGATAGTGAAAGACCTCAAAAGAGGAATTTGACATATTGCCAGACTTGAGCTTACACCAAAATATTTATATAGAAAGAGGGGTTCTCACAGTATCACTAATTACTTATATACCATAATTCTTGTTGCAAGTGAAGGAAGCTACTAAGCTACTTAAAGCAGCTTACTGACTTTTGAAGAAATTCCAGCTTAGAGGAGAAATTGAAGAAGCTAACAGATATACCTGTACAGTAATCTAATAATAAACATTAAGAATACTGTACAGTAAAGCCTTCGATAATAACGGTTCGACCAACAAATTTAAATATTTAAGACCCTAGTTATTTTAGGACCCAATTAAATTTACGTCCTTATTTCATTCGTATTTATGACCAAAATATAATAAAAATAAAATAACATTACATTTTCATGTAAATATTAACTAAATCCCGTTATGTACTATAAAAAAAAAAAAAAAAAAAATGAAGAGCGCCTTGTGCAAAGAAGCTGCCTGGCTAATGAGTGGTAATGACATTCGGAGCTTGGCGGGCCATTTGTCTTCACACATCTGAACAGGAACAGGAGAAAAACTTTATCAGGTTTCTTACAGCATTTTTACATCCCTATTCAACATGAGCAAGAGAATAAGTGATGGTAGTGTTGCTTCAAAAGCTAATAGAAAGTGTATAAACTTAGCCGAGAAACTAGAGATGTTAAAACGATATGAAAAAGGTGAGAGGTCTGTGGATATTATATGGAGCAAGCAATGAACATATTTTCTGAAGTGGATCCATTAACAGAACAAAGCATTAAAATTTAAATAAATGCAAATGACCTCTACATGAAGATGTATAATGAGAAAAGAAAGCAGCTGTGCAAGGTTCTTTAGACAGCTTTATTATTCGAAGGCCTAAACCACCAACTTCAGCATCATAAGCAGCTTCTACATCAACTTCAGGTTCAGTAACAGTTTCAGCAACAGCTTTATGGAAAGCTACAGCGAGTAAAAACTCGCACAACATCATTGGCTGTCCTTATGTTTTAGACTTTACCACCATTGGCGAGTAGAATTTTTGTTTTACATTCGTAGTTATTACTTAAAACATATTCGAACAGTAAATAAGTGTTGCTTTCATATTCATATGTAGAGAAATGACGATATGTTTTCACATGTACGCACTTACTGTTCATACGTTGGTGTTCCCAAAAATCTTGCTTTATTTCTTTACCATTAGTGGTTAGCTACTTCCAGTGTTCCATTTATTAACATTAAATAACATAATTAAAACAGACATGCAGGTATTAATTTTTTTTTAAATTAAGTTCACTACAGCTACAACCAGGGTCTTATTTTCTTCAGTAGAACCATCGTTACTCGTGAAAACAATGCCGTCTTTTCTGCTCGTGTTTTAATATTCTACATATTATTAATGAATTGCATTGTTCATTTCGCATATATAAAGATTAATTCAATCAAATACATATTCAGTAATAAAAAATAATGAATCTTTTGTACATATTCTTAAGAAGATAAATGACGCGGTATCCTTAAATGCGCATATATATGCTGGCGTTCCCAATGCATCTTTTTTTTTTTCTTTGCCATTAGTGGTTAGCTGCTTCTATTGTTCCATTTATTAACATTACTTAAAACATATATAAATTCATTTTTTTACATTAATTTTACTGCAGCTTCAACCAGGGTCTTATTTTCTTCATTTTCTCGTGTAGAACTATCGTCCCGGACTCCAGGCTGTAAACACAAACGAAAACAATGGCGTCTCACCTCCTCTTGTGTGACCATATTATTATTCATTTATATTGTATAAGGTGCATTCAGAAACATTATTTGAAGAATATAGTTTGCATTTTTCATTAATTGTATTGTTTTTGGGGGAAGAGAGGGTAAAAAGCCACACAAAAGATATGAAAAGGTCATTCTTGGGAATGCATCTCATTATCATTGTTTTATTTTAATGGTAATTAAAGATTTGCGATACGATGATTCACCTTACACTGCAATACTGGAGGACACATTACCATCGTTATTCGAGGCTTTACTGTATGGTGAGAGAGAAAAATGTGAAGGTGTGAGGAAGGGACCTTTTCCAAGGGGGTGGTATAAATTTAAGGTTGGTTGCGGCAAATGTTGCCGACTACACGACAGGAAAACTTATGTGATTTGTTCCTGCTGGGGACTTAAATAAGAGTTACCTGTATTTAGATATTAAGTAAATTAACACTGAATCCATATTAGTCAGTTTCCACCATTCCCACTTGGAGACTTCTTAGTATGCTACAATAGAACAGTTTTTGGTTATGAACAGTCATTAGCACTTTCTAATACATAATGCAAATACAAACTCTCTAATAAATTAAGTATAAAAGGAACAAGCTAAACTATAAGGGAAAAAGAAAGAAAGAAAGAATAAACTAAGGAAGTATGTCAATACAGGACCAAAATTTTTGAATGTGCACTTTTTAAATTACCAGAGCAGTTATATTTACTGTTGTGGGATACATAGAACTTAAAAAGCAGCCCAAGTTTTGAGTACAATGAAAAGTCTCACAGACTACAATTCATACGAATATCTTTATAATGACAGAGAAACTAAGTTCTTGGGCTATTTCATAGTATGGAATCATAGTACATGTACACTCGCACCAAAAAACATCGGTGCAGGGCGAGACCGACGAGTTCCGAAACGATACGTATACACTGTGATATGTCGGGAAGGTTGGTAAGTGTATCCTCATAACCCCCCCCCCCTCCACTAGGTATTGCCATATGGCTGACAATCAGTGTGTTTGTTTCCTCTTTTCGGATTGTTGCTTTGTGTCGACTGAATGATGAGCAAGGGTTCGGTCTCGGTGAACGTGGGTATAAAACAGAGGCAATGTGAAGCAGTAGAGATCTACACATGCCAGACGACACGGAAACCTCAGAGGGAACACGAGGAGCTATTATTGCCCTTCATAACGAAGGGTTCGGCGTCACAGATATTAGCTGGGGGGTTGGCGTCCACAGGAACACCGCTGCACGATGGATTCGGTGATATTTCGAAACTGGTGCTACAGACGACAGGTCTCCGAGCAGCCGTCCACGCTGCATCACCCCTCAGGACAACCAGGTTGAGTGTTTTATTTGGTAGCATAAATTAATGTGGCAATATTCACAAGTATCACAAATAATTTTGTTAACAGGGAGCTCCTCATATTTCATACTGTCTATTTATCACTTCCCGACCTTATTTATAAGGGTTTATTTCACTTGACCAGGCCATAGTAGCTGCTCAGCAGGATTACAGGGCTGCCAACATATGGCTGGAACAACTCGCCTTTCTCAATACCTATCGTCACTGGTCTCAAATTGTTCACACTACAGTATGCACCGATACTTTTTGTTGGGAGTGTACGTCCCAAAAAGTCAGAAATTATTAAACATCCAAGAACATCTTAGAAAATAGTAGCAGTTGTTGGAGCAAGAGTAAGGTGCACACATAGTGGACCCGAGGCCATGTGTCAAGTCAAGATGGGCCACAGTCAATGGTGATGAGACCTGTCCCACATACCTTAGTGTAACACTTGGGGCTCTCACATCTGAGAAACATAGTACAGTACTAAGAAGTACAAGTATACTTGAAACAATTGAAACAATCACATAAAAGTAAAAGAGAATGAGTAGAGCATATGACAGACATAAAATAAAAGACCCTTAAGTACCATGCATACAATATGTTTTGCCCACCGCTATGTAAGACATTTATAGTATACTTGTACAGTACAGCATAGAGCCCCAGGGTTAACCATGCACCTTCATTGTTTGACACACTTGCCTCATTTCGATGCTCCCCTCCATGTGCATGCTAAAAATAAAAATATATATGGAGGCATGAATAAATGATTGCTGTCGAACTGTCCATTCAGTGCTGGGTAACATCTTCATCTTTCTCGGGACTGATCGGATAAATGCAACAGAAATTAATCTACCAGCAAATTAAAAAGTACCAAACACTGTGCCTAATGAAAAGACAAAAAAATTTAAATTCATAAAACTAGAATCACATTCAAAATACAATCATACATGCATTGTTGAAAATGTACCCTTGTAACACAAAAAACAACTCAATATGCTACATCAGAAATCAAGATCTTATTTACAATCTGTGCAGCATATAAAATATAACTTCTTCAGTAAAATATTCTTGGGTAGAAACTGAATAACAAAGAGTGGAAATATAATGAAGGTGCATCTTCCAAATGAGTCCATTACCTTCTGCTTCTTATCAAGCTTTAGTCGTTCTGTTTCTTGGGTCATTTCTTCTCGCCAGAGATTAAAGAAGTATGATGGGTCAGTGTAGAACTTCAAACCATCCTTCCCATCATCCCTAAGAAATACAAGTAATTACAGAGTATACACCCAACATCTGCCTGGGATAATACAGTGTAAAACAAAATACTATATACTATATGAAACTATAATTAGTACAGGCACCGGATCATTTATCTGGTTTTTATGAAACCAGGTAGTATTCCAGGAAACTGACTATTTTTGAAGGTGGTTACTTTTGAAATTTGTGGGGTTTGTAGTTTGCAGGTTGGGTATTTTGTTGTAATTTTGGTGGCATCACACTGGCACATGACAGTCATACAATCCATTTTTTACATACACATTTTTTTAACTTAATTTTCTCAAAATAATTGAACTATAATATTTTTATTTCTGAGAACTCTTTATTTTCAGTCTTTTCTATAGTCTTATATGTAAGAAACAGTCCAACACACACATCAACCTTAAACAGAGAATGTTCATCATGAATTTGAGTAATTTCCCAGAATCCTCTCAATAAAACAATACTGTTACCGCAAGCAGTAATGAGTAGGATAACCCTTTAACAAATATAATGTTATGTTGTAAGTCATATCATGTTAATTGGGCGTGCCTGCCCGTATATAGAGTATCTAGTCAGTGGAGTTACAGAGACAAGGAGTAGTATGGTGTTGTGTGGTAGTACGGAGGACTTGTTTGTATATAAAACATCTGACGCAGCGACATGTGTCAGCCCAGGCAGGGCCTGATACGAGCGGTGCCACCACTCTAGCTATTACCATCATAGGGTGAACACCCAACCTATTCATTTTGAGACCTTCAACACCTAAGTTCAACCTGTACTTAAGTTTACTCAGGTAGACTGTCCATTGTATTGTTTATCATTGTGACAACATGGAAATATGGCAACTAAACATCTATGTAGGATTACCGACGTATGATTTATTATTTGAAATACTAAGAATGAATAGTATTGAACAAGTTTGACCAAATTATAACATTTGAGTTCAATGTGACTGGTCTTATTATCCATAGTTGCTCTAAAGGCGATTACAAATACAGTACTTACCTGTAAGGGTTAAGCTGATGAAGAGGAGGAGGTTGCTCACAGTGCTGATAAGTTTCTGACATTGGAGCAGAAATAGTGTCCCGAGATACAACTTGTTGGTCAAATAATGTTGAGGACTTGAATGCTTTTCGCATATGGATGTCTTGCAGAGATACTGTAAATCATAAGTGTTAGATTTTCAAGTGAATGTTAATAATATTCATCACATCACAATAGTAGAAAATACACAACATATTAGTTGGACTTACACACGTATGACAGCACTATCCTACCATACAAGCAAGAATTTGTCCTTTCTCACATTATAAATTAGTTTCTTTAAAAAAATTTACTTTCACATATTTCAATTCCAAATTAATAACACCATTACTAGACAAAATTTTAATGATAATCTCATCAAAACTTCAGATACATCCTGGCAATTGAATAAGTTAAGATACAAAGGACCAGTTAGTGAGGCAGTTGTTCAGAATACCCAACACAGGAACAAAGTAATTATGGAGGCTAGGTTCTGAACTGCCTTACAAAACCCAAATACTACAAAAATTTTACCTACAATAAACTGCATACACCTGTTATTTTCACAGTACCTTTCACTGGTTAACAGTTACAAAAAAGAAAGAACATTGGATTTACCCCAGTTTCTACCAAAACTTTCACTTTACAATCATGGTTTAATCGCTCCTGTTCTCTTGCATGTAGGGAGAGAGATAGAGATTATTGAGTTTTGGAATTATCACCTTCTATTACTTACTCCTCTTTCATCACATCTAGGAGTCTTTGTAAGGCAGTTCTTCATAGGGCCAAGCAGAATTACAATTGAAAATAAAGACCTCTGGCCTGACTAACCCTTCCGTCTAATAACTTTTGCACTCCTCATTTTCGACCTGATAACTCTATTGCCAACACTCCCTCTGATAAAGCCAATTTCTTTGGCACATTATTTTCCTCTAACCCCACCTTAGACAATTCCTATGATCTCCAATTGTAGGGCTGCTGGTGTGTTATATAATTTGAATGTGAGTAAGGGGCACGGACCAAATGGACTTCCCCCTTGTGTTTTGAGGGAGTATGCTGAAGTCTCCACCCTCTTACAGTCTGTCTCGCTTCAAAAAGCTGGTTTTCCGGCTTCTTCATGGTATAGATTAACATACCCTTTTTCTCCGCTAATAATTTTTTTTTTTTTTGCCAGCCCCCATTGTGGGCTGTTGACCTGTGCCTGGCAAGGCTATTCCCAATAAAAAAAAAATTTAAATGTGGAATCTCTGCCAACAAGCTTTAGTTTGACAAAACTTGGCAGTTACTATGCATCACTTGAAACAGCAATACACAAGTCCCTGCTCCTGTACACAGCATTACAGTAAGGAAGTTACACAGCTTACTCCAACGTAAATAAAAAAAAATTATATGTAACAGATAATAAGGCCATATTGCACTTGATTTGATACTTAATAAGAAATATGAGACGTTAAAGACAAAGCTCATGGCTGTATCTGCTAACCTAGTGCAAAAAGTTAAGCACCCAGATACAGAACTCAAACATGTACAGTAATCCCGTGATTACCTCTTCTGTTTGTCCTCCCACGTGCATTCCACATGGCTCCAGGACGTAAGCCAGCCTCATCAAAGGCAAATATTACCAGCAAAGACTCTAAAATGACCAAGAGATCAAGAATAGTGATGACCTTAACAAAATAAGTTTTATTGGACAAGCTCAGAGGTGGTATGAGCTATGGCTTGAGATGTGGTGAAGCCTGACAATTCATTTGTGTCTTTTGTCAGAATACAAGTCTTCAAGCGAAGGAATGTGGGTGGGAAAGGACTGGCTGGCTGGTGTGACTGTGTGAGGGCGGACAGACGCCGGGACAGCAGGGAGAGGCTGGCAATGTGTCTGTTGCCGACTTCAGCGAAATATAACATTTTATATTTACTTGTAAATAAACATTTTTTGTATATAACTGTGTTTACGTTTTTTCATTATTATACTACAATATGATTAGTTTCAAATAATGATGTTACTAAGTGCCAGTACAGTGCATCAGTGTGACCACTGGGCCATGAGTGGAGAGCATGGCATGGTTAAGTGCATGACTTACCTGAGCTGTTTGGTGGCCACAGGTACAGTGATTCCTAAAAGAGTATTCGCGGTTTTGGCTTTTCGCAGGGGTTTCAGGAACGTAATTCCCGCGAAAAACACGGGATTACTGCACATGTAATGGTATTCACAGAAATCATTTTTTTTCTTTTCTGCTTCATTTACATTTGTTTCCATTAGAATGAAAGTAACTATTGTTCATAAATCTAGACTCTAGAGGAATGTTCGGAGACAGCCGGTTAGGTTCTGAAAGGCTTGTTTGCAACATAAAAGTGTCGTAACTCAAATGTTTATCAACCAGGTTGTTGCTGTATCTAGAAAAATTGTGGCTGCATATGGTATTGCCAGTCTGTTAGCAAAAGTGACATTAACCCTGTTTTAGCAACTCTCTCTCTTTTATCTATACCTCTATCTAGTACTGTATGTGCAAAAATTTATATTCTAGAAAGAGTTAATAAATTTTCAGAAAAAAAGAGAAATCTTTACCTTCTTCTACATTGCTATCCAAATTCTTGACCTTGACTGAGAGTTTGTCAACTCTGCCTTGCAATGATACAGTACGATTCAAGATGGATGTGGACTCGGCAATCATTTCACCAAACAAATCCTCTGCATGCCGAGAAAGTGATGATAACTGAAAAATGTTTTTAAAGATGTTAACAAATTTCAGCAGTCTTGAATCATGACAGAGGTAGTTTAATATAAAGGTTCTTAATAGAAATTAAACTGTGGCACGGTCACCTAATTTTCATCTAAACTTAGTTTGGGACAAAACTATCAAAGCATTTTTAATACTAGTTTCACATCCCTCGCTGGTTGCCTTCAGTGTGACAGTTGACAACAAATGAAATGCAGCATTCTTTAAAGGTAAACAAATACTGCTTCTTACTTGAGTAATTAGATTGGCAAGGGTGAGGTTGGTGAATGCCTCTAGGTCTTGTGGTTGGTATGTAGCTGGCAGTAGTGCAGAGTAGACCCGACCATTATCATCAGTGACCCACTCCTCCACCAAGGGCACCCGTGACACATGCACGGGTGACACCACCCGTTTTAGAAGTGGCATCTTCTAGGTTTCAGCCCTGTCAAGATGTAACCATTCAAAGGATCAAGCATTAATATTTAATTAATATCTAAAATCAAACAATGCAGAGCAAACATATTCACTTGATGACTGATAAGTGGGCTCCACACAGGGACAGTGTGGATACAGCACTGTACACTAAGCCTTCAGTACACAAGGAGGCAGCATGGCCGGTACAGTAGAACGTCGATTTAAAGCGATTCAATTTAAGATTGTTGATTTAATAAAGTGACACCCACAATGTTTTAATTTAAAGCGAATCTTACCTATTTTGCGCGAGTCAATCTGGTGCATCATATTTAAAATTTTGCGCCTAATGTTTCTCTGGCCACGCTACACTGTCCTAAGGGCAAAGCTGTACTGTACATGTACTCAAAATAATGTACTAAATGATTACTAAAACTTTTGTCTAGTGCAAACTATAGCATGTTTATATTCAAATTAATCACTATCTTATAAGAATTCCAGCAATGTAAATTATATTCTCCCCGGTCACTTCTGTGACATCTTAGAAGCAAAAAACTTAAACTCAAGCTAAAGGACATAAATAAACAAATAAATACTTCACTAGACCTTTGGTACAAACTGTCAAACATGTCACTTCCCTCCCCTCCCTCCCCCCAATCTTCCCAGCCAGGATTTGGTGTTTTTATCTTATATAATGTCACAGACTAAGGTTAGGAGAACATAATTTGTTTTGCTGGAATCCTTGCAAAAAGGCGAATAATTTGAATATAAACGTCATATATTTTGCGCAATAGATAACAAATTTTGCTCTTTGTAATAAAATTCTTAAATTAGAACTAAAATTTGTATGTCTAATGTGAGCTATAGCATGTTTATATTCAAATTAATCACTATCTTATAAGAATTCCAGCAATGTTAATTATATTCTCCCATGTCAGTTCAGTGACATTTTATAGGAGAAAAACTTGAAGTCACTCTTAAGGACAGATAAATAAATAAGCACTAAACCTTGGTACCAACTGTCAAACATATCACCTCCCCTCCCTCCTCCCCCCCCATCTTCCCAGCCAATAAACAGACCATTTAGCATCCCTTAATTTTAGCTGTGTTGATTTACGAGTGTTTGTTTTAACATAATACTACAAAAAGCAATGTTGTTTATTCTAGGAGATGGGCTGAGGTGCATCTGGGTAGACCCTCAGTCATTTTAGTATTTTGAGTTTCTCTTAAGTACCAAACTAAATTATTCCATTTAAACAACACTTCGATTTAGGGCGAAGAATTTGGTATAAAGCGACTTTCTTGGAACGTATCTCATGTTATATCAACTTTCTACTGTACTACACTCGACCACATTAACTTCCCCGAGTTGAAAACTTAGGTACCAATTTATAGCTCGGTAAATTGGGAGCACCTGGGTATCGAACCACCGACCCCTGGAACAGGAGGCAAGCACTGTGTCCACTCAACAGCCGTGCTCCTACCTTATGACTAACAAGTAACTAATTCATTGGACTACTCATAGTGTGTGTGGGCAGTGATGGTTCAATTCAAAATTTAACAATGTTTTATAAGTTAACATAAAGTTAAATTCAGTACAGAAATATAGATATTTTATTACCAATAAGCTCTTAATACATGGAAATAATTTACTTTACAAAACTTCATATTAGAAACCTAAAATGAGGAACTAATCAAACTAAGTCTATAAAAGGTACGTAATGAAGAATATTGTAATAAATTTGGTACTCCATGTGTATTGTGTAAATCTAAGCAAAACCAGAGAAAACATTTTATAACATAAAACTCCCCAAGGAATCAATTCTGTATAATAAAATCTTCCAATTCCAATGATAAGAGTACAGGTAGTTCTGCTATAACGCGATAATTGTGTTCTTGTAAAATATCGTGTTTTAGAAAACCGCATAATAGAAATAACAGGGCTTATGGAGAAAATAGGGTTAGGTGCAGATTACTCGAAATCGAAAAAATTTAGTAGTTAGCCTAACACAAAGGATAGCACAGTCTAAATAAATGTTACATTCATATCTAATAATGAAATCATACAGTAAATGTAACACTTTACTTGATGGGGGAGAAGGGTGATTTTGAGGTTGATAAAATCGAGCTTCTCTTCAAGTGTTATATCCTTTCTTTTACGATCATCACCGGGAATTCTATCACCAGAACGCTTCTTGTTGATATTATTCTTTACTATATTCACAGTTAATACAGTGGGGTATGCTATAACGAACGGATCCTACTATGAATATTCCTATAACGAACGGTTTTACCTATAAAATTGAGAATGCTATAACGAACGAAACTCCTACAACGAACATAATTTAATTTTTTTTTCTAATTTATTGTTTTATTATTACAAATATTAATGATATTCTTTATTTCAGGGGTTTAGATGCATATCTATGCACTTTTTTACAATTTTTACAATTTTATATTATATTTTTCAGTGTTAAGTGGTTGTATTTGGGGGCCTGGAACGGATTAATCCTATAACAAACGAATGCTATAACGAACAAGGTTCTAGAACCAATTAGATTCGTTATAGCATACCCCACTACCACAAAATTGGAGAAATAGTAAGCAAAAATCGCGTTATAGCAAACAAGCATTTACGTTATACAAATATCGTTCCTAATTCATAAATCGCGTTAGAGCAAATTCGCGTTATAGCAGAACTCACTGTATTGTGTATACTTTCTTGCACTTTCTCATCAAAAACATCAAAGGCAACTAAATACAGCTTTACTGTATATTATCTGCTAATTATACCAATACCAGCTTGGCACAAACATCCTGTTGACTAAACAATTTCCAGATATAAGCCACCAGAAGGCCGAGCCATAACAGGGTGTACAGTATATCCCTGGGGGCATCATAAAGGCTGCAATACATATTGAGAAATGTCAACAAAAAATAAGTATAAAAATGAGTGGCCATACTATGTTATATATCAAGAACACAATGTCTCATGCTTTTTTGGACAACATATTTACATATGCTTGTTCACATCTCAGGAAGAACATTATGATTGAAAATTCAGTACCAGTAGCCCTAATATCTGTACTGTACAGTATGACAGAAGGTTTGTAGAGAAAAACGTGACAATTATTTCTCTAACCAACTGAATGAAATACGTACAGTATTGAAGAAATTGAAAATATGGGTAGGAAAATATATTGCTTAAAAAATCCTGCAAAATACATCAGCTTTCTTTACAATATTCTACTTTTCATATCCTCATTAAATCATGTTAAATAATTGAGGTTTAAGATTACTGTATCCAGAAGCTACCACACATACTAACCTAGCCAAATGTACAGATTGTACATCTTTCCACTAGTCAGGCTTACTGAATTAGCAATGACAATCCACATGTAATATGTCACTACATCTCTATGCTTTACAAACAAAAGTATATAAATCAATAAAAAAATAGATACAAATACTAATATACGGTACAGGTAGTACAAGAAATTTCAACAAACACACAAACTTACAGATCTCAAGTTTCATCATTACTTATTCATCAAAATAAAATATAATTGATCAAATAAAATATAATTGATAATTTTCTTTTTCAAACCATATGCACCATTCCTCATTATCTATGGCAAAAGTCAATATAATTACTGTACTTCTGAAACTTGAAAAATATTTACCTATGGCTACAGTAGTGAATCTTGTGTGGCCAAACTCTTCCTGTTTGGCCGCCACTTTTATACCTCGGTGGCATGCGCCTTACTTATATTTGGAGAGTCTACGACCAAACCTCTCTTTTCACCTGAGTATGCATTCTCTCTGAAATAAAAAGTTACAGTGTGTTAAAGCAATCATAAAATTTTTTTACTTGCATTTCCAAAAAGGTTATGAGAAGTTGTATGTCATCAGCTTATATATACTCCCAGCTTCCTTGTTACTATAATATCATGGTAGAAAAGTAATATAGGTGTACACAAGAGTGGTATTAGTCACAGTTTTCATCAAAGGTAAATAACTCCACAGAACTGACAGTAAATCTGTTTGTGGTTTCCTTTTAATTTCTGAAAATAAATATAACATGAAGACAGAATAAATATTTTTCTCTTTAATTTATCTTCAATAATAATATTTAATCACTTCCAAAATATTTTCTCAGGCTAATTCTTATTAACCAAATTCCAATACTGTACAGTATGCACTTCATCATACAATACTAAGCATACTTAATTTAAAACACACTATGGGGGAAAAATAGAAAACATATTAAACATTCTACAAAAGTAACTAGTGACCCCAAAATCCGAGATGAAACCCTGTTAATATTAAGTCATGGCAAGACTACATGTACAGCATTCATAATAAAGCCACTCTTCACTCATCTCATTACCCAAAACCACTAAAATAAGCAATATCTTGGATGGAATGTAACAAACTTTTACAGAGACATTGCCTGGGACTTGAATATTTTTCACAGCATTAAACTTTATGAAATAATTCCTTTCACAACAACGACCTCCTCATATAACGTTGTTTGCTGCCTGTGTCTATGAATCTAACTTGAACTAAATTACATTAAGCAATTATAAAAAAAAAAAAAAAACATTCAAGTAATAGAATACAAAATGTGAGCCAAAAAAACTATGTAAGAATCAGAAGTTTACTGATAAATTATACTGCATAATATTTTTCAGCAATAAAATATGAAGAACAATGTTGCAAAAGCTGATAAAAACCCAGAACTTACATAAAAAAAAAAACACACACACAACTATGCCTCAACTACTTCCTTCCCAAGTGGAAGTAGCAGCAAGACTGTCAGAGGAAGCACTCCCCACCACCACAAAAGGCAAACCTGGCAACTCAGGTTTCTACAATTCAGTTACAATGTCCATAGTTTTTCAGAAACAAGTGTACCTTTTCAGACTGCACCAACCAGAGAGCAGTGCCACTACCTACTATTTAGTCATTCAGGTGATGTGACGATAAGTCTAAGACACAATGATTGTTATTCAGGTGGGGTGTGGCAACCACATGAGCCAGGCAAGAGAGTAATCAGGATGTAGAGCTTAGTCTCCCCACCTCACTACACCCAGCCACTCACAGTTGGAGTGTTTCATTACATCAATTTACTATCAAAATATAGCTCTCGTATGACAAATTGTTATCATATTTGGAAAACTCCAACGATGTCAAAAGATAAGATTGTAAATTTTTCATTAACCCACTAACTGCAGAACAGTAATAGAAGATACCAAACATACCCAAGATACAGTTATCACTGTATTTAAATGACAAAAACCTGTTCAGCTACAATTATTTTAATGTACGTTGATTAAAATAACTCTTAAATCTCTCTCCAGCCAGAATTGACGCTAGACACAAGTTGATTGAATTATATATCCCCAAATTAATCAACCCATTTTTAAGTCATTATTATTCATATGTATTGTACGAGTATAACCTCACAGTAATAAATTACAAAAAATTATTAAAATTCAACCTAATACTAATAGCAGCTGGTCTTTTGTTTCTCAAAAGTGCCAGTTCTTTTAAAGAATTCACTAGCGCTCAAAACACTACAAAGTCAAAGATTTTAAAATAAAAAGAAATACTGTTCTACATTACAATTAAAGAACACAAAAAGTGAGTTTGACTTCTATCATACATATACCCTACGTTTAAATACAGTATTTCCTAAACACTTGTAATTCTCCATCACCCAATTCAGGATCATAAGCTTTAAAAAAAAAGTATCTTAGGATGTTTCATAAAGGCCCCCACAAAAGTAAGCTGCTTCATGGATGCAGACAACCAACTGCACAATCTAGGTGATGTATAGGAAAAGGATTGAGCAGCAAAAGAACATTCCCATACTGCTCTAGGCTCCTCAAGGCATGAAAGATCATCACTATGATGCAAAATCATTTCAGAATGTGTAGTCAGTGGAATTAGTAGGTTGGCCAAATACTTAGGGCCAACAAACATTAGCGTCTTAAAAAGTCACTAGATAGAGTTTGAACTCTAACCAACTTTAATTGGAAATCAATATACAGTAATGTGATCAAGAATGGGGCAGTGAGAGTCCTTTGGGGAGTGCAAAATAAGCCTGGCAATCCTGTTCAACACGGTTTGATCTTTCTTCAGTAGATAATTAGGTAGGCAGACCCATAATGAGTTACAATAGTCAACCCAAGACCAAATAAATGAATGTAATAGTGTCACAAGACACACTATCCAAACACTGTCTAACAACATATAGATTTTAAAAAGTTGCAACTCTTAACAACTGAATTTATATGTTCTTTAAAATTCAGTTTTGAGTCAAAGTACACTCCAAGGTTAAGAGCAGATTTAACAGGACCGAGCTGCACTTCCCAAAAATTTAAACAGCTAAAATCACCTGTGTCGTCTCCCCTTCTATTTCCTTGGATAACAATAATCATGGCTTTGCCGTCGTTCAACTTGAAGTTTTCTCCTAGTCATCTTTATCTTAATATCAGACATCAAGGAATTCATTATCTCATCAATATCCTCAACATTTATTATTTTCACATAAAACTGTGTATCATCGGCATAGAAATGGTAGGCAATACCATGAGCATCCAGCAGAGATGTAAGACTACTGGTATAAACTGTAAACAGAAATGGTCCAAAAACTGTTCCCTGTGGGACTCCAAACTTCAAAGGTACTGGGTCTTAAATGGTTCCAACAACCATTACACATCAAGATCACTTTGACAAATAAGACTCAAGCAGTGAGAGTGCATTCTCACGGACACCAGGCGACCAAAGCTGCACAGAGATCCAACAAGACTAGAAGGGAAGAGTTTCCTATGCATGTGTCTATTACCAAATAGTTATGAATTTTACATAAGACACTACCCAAATATTCTACAGTTTTAAGCTGATGGTAAGTGTGTGGGCACTAAACAGAAATCCCTTTAGTCCACACCTGAAAATTTTAACTACTGTACAGTACTGTAATAACTTAAGCATAAAATCTATCACAGTTAATGGGTCACTCACAAGAAAGCATAACCCAGACCTATATTATAAAATTGAGATCTATATCATATGTTCCTACAATACCATAATATGAGAGCATAACTAATAATATCCAAGTAAGACTATAACATTATTTTTTTTAAACTGATACAGTACGGAACTACTGTATACAGTACAGTACTGTACTGTAATTTTTTTTTTTTTTACAGGGATTAGCCCACCAGGGCACAGGTCACTGACCCACATCAGGGCCTGGGGGACGAAAATGTAATAATGATATTAATAATAATAAATTTAAAAAATCATCATAAATTTTACAGAAAATACAAAAATAATAACAAAGAACCATAAAGAAATACAAAAAATAAAAATAAATAGTGATAAACGATATACAGTATGTGTTGTATTGTAAAAGTATGAGAAACAATTGAGACCCTGGAATTGTGTGTAAATGAGGCAGAAAGTCAGATCAGCAACCTGGGACTTGGTCACAATTTTTGTGATGCCATATGGCAGCAGGGTCTACCATTAGACAATACATTATGCTTCCAATATCTTCCCAGGCGGTAATACCTCCCTGTTTGGTAGCTGCCTACTACGTGACTAAATGAACAACCAAAAGATATGTCTCCCCAACCTTTACATTTTTCATTTATATAAAACAAAAAACAAACTAAAAACTTTAAGAATTTAGCCTTCCAACTTCTCAATGATCCAATAACTTGGTAGGACACAACCCATTGTGGAGTTATCACCATAGATAAGAGAGAATGTTCCCTTGTAAAGTAACCAGTACATACAAGGCCATCAGATCAAGGCACACGCAGTAGATTAGAGAATAAATGTCCACAAGTGTTTTCCTATCTATGTATCTATTAATGGGTAGCCATTGTATATGTATATAAAAAAAAAAACACGCTCCTCAAATCCACACCAATATGATCACAAATTTCTTATGTGGTACCAGTACATAACTGTACAACTCAAATGATTTAATTGCGCGCGCACGCCCACACGCAGTGTTTCAAAATATAGTACGTATTGCACAATACAAGTGTCACATACTTCACTGTAAAACAAATGAACACTAGAATCTTCCCAATAATCAGATTTAATTGATAAACTTTTACTTCAAATCTCTTCATAGCCCTAAAAACAAATTCCCTAAAAAACACAAACACATATGCTAACAAAATACAGTATGTACAGACATTACTCCTTTACAACCGAACACCAAGAACGATTACAACCACAGGACCACCTCTTATAGGAAACATACTGTGATAAGCAGCAAGATTAGGGTTGACGACATACTGTACTGTACTTGTACTGAGTTATCACTTCAACACATTTTTTTTTATGAACACATATAAGCTGTAAGACTATCAGTGTGTCTACTGAAAAGTAATGCTTCATTTCAATTATTGTTTTGTGTTATACTTGAGACATATATCTGGTGTTGATAACTGTCTGCAATCAATATTCATTTTATCTTGATAGCACGTAGTGATAAACCTTCAGTCATTCAAACAATTCCTAATTTGGAAACAATCACTAGCCTTTGTCATACTGCTGAACTTTGTCAACTACAATATCATAACTCTGTATAATGCTACTTGAGGCTCTAAACTCATTTTTTTATCTTCTATTCTTCCAATAACTAACATGGTACTACCGGTATTTATCTATTTCTTCAACTACCCTGTAGAAATGTACAGTACCTACTGTAATTCTCGTAGCTAAATGTTTCACTGATTGCCAGGTGAGACAAAACTAGAGGTATACGTACTTCAAATTATAAAAGGGTTCCATTT